GTAGTGTCCAGTAATGGCAATTTTTCAAAGTTTTCAATAGCTTCAATTAGTTTTGCTTAGAGTGCAAGAATGTATTCCACTCTCTTTTACTCCAAAAATATGGGGCTAACTTATTTAGCGGACAAAGTTGTCCGCACTATAACAACTTATTGTACCCTTATTATTTTGTGCTTGTATGAAATACTTATGCTTGAATATTGCTTACGGCCTACGCATTTATTCATTCTGCTAGTCTTACTACTAACCGCTTATTTGATTCGATTACTCATTCATTTCATATGGTATATATATGTCCATGTTATTCATATTCAACACTCACTCACACACTCTCGTCTCGCTCTTGCTTTGGCTCTCGCTCGCTTGCTTGCCTTTCGGCACAACTCTTCTATGCTTGTTTAACGCATCTGTACATTTGGATATATGTGTGTGGTCTCGTAATAAACGTAATCAACACTTCGTATTTGCCTTCTGATTAATATACGGTTGGGACGTTATATAGAACGGTTATCAAGACAAGCTGTATACGAAGTGTAAGGATATATCGATATATCTTACCACTCATATACAGCTCGTCTTGATAACCGTTCTATATAACGTCCCAACCGTATATTAATCAGAAGGCAAATACGAAGTGTTGATTACGTTTATTACGAGACCACACACATATATCCAAATGTACAGATGCGTTAAACAAGCATAGAAGAGTTGTGCCGAAAGGCAAGCAAGCGAGCGAGAGCCAAAGCAAGAGCGAGACGAGAGTGTGTGAGTGAGTGTTGAATATGAATAACATGGACATATATATACCATATGAAATGAATGAGTAATCGAATCAAATAAGCGGTTAGTAGTAAGACTAGCAGAATGAATAAATGCGTAGGCCGTAAGCAATATTCAAGCATAAGTATTTCATACAAGCACAAAATAATAAGGGTACAATAAGTTGTTATAGTGCGGACAACTTTGTCCGCTAAATAAGTTAGCAAAAGGGCTTAACTGAGTTAAATGAGAATAAACTCATTTGCACGTGAGTCGCTATAATTGAAGTGAAGAAAACTAAGAGTTTCGTCTAGTAAGAACTTTAGAGCTGAACCGAATTTCAAAGACGGATGCACACAAGGTGTTGAAAAGGAGAAGCGTTCCTGGAAAGCAAGGAATACACTTTTATCCACCAGGAATATATTTATGCAATTAGATCAAATTTGTACCCGAAGGTCACTAAATAAATGTTACAGCCATCATGAAAACTCCACCCTAACCGCTTCTTGAAGAACAAATAGTGACTACAAGACGATCTAAATCGAATCTAACAAAATATCAGTGGTACGAATGAAAAACCAATCTTGATAGTTGTGTTAATCTTGGAGACATAGGTCATTTAGTCAACCCAGCTTTATTGAATGGGTCAACATCATGAATATTGGCCCCATGTTATGGCCACCCATTGCTCCTAATGATGGTTAGGTTATAAGTGTTAGACATCAATTAGTTACGTATGGAAATACGAGCATTCCGCGAGTCTGCTCGTAAGCTCACTCTCTTTTTCAAATCATGCACACAAATTATAATTCAAGTTTGACAGCCTTTCTTTAGCAACATTCAAGTCCAGAAATTCGCTGGTTTCTGAACCAACCTTCATAACTTTGTAGTGACTTACTTTTATCACGAAGACACGATTGGTTTAATGAAAACAACTATTATTAATATAACCAATTGTACCTGTGCTTGTTTTAATGTGCTTTCGCTCAACTGTGCTGATGACAGACATATTGTACGACCATTACTCTCCATAACTTTTTCCGCGGATTGTGACCTCGTACGTTCGTACTCTAGTCCGCTCATTCCACTTGTACTTCTTTTGGCACGAACTTGGTATTCGTTTGATACCACGAGATCGCCAACGAAATAAATCTGGTTACGTTCAGTCTTCACCTTCTGATTTGATTGGGAGCCATGTTGGTTTGTTCCTCCTTTTGAATGTGTTGCTTTTATTGACTTAAATTGTGGATTTTTTTATTTTGAACTGAAACACTCTTCCAGAATTGGAAACACTTTTTTATAATGCAGTCAAATATTATCTTTTGAACGAATCTATGAGTGGTCTATTCAGCCAGGATGGAATAACATTTATTTGTTGTGATTGCTATTTTTCACGCATCCTTACTTATTATAATTTAGCTTTGTTCAACTGAACAATTGTTGGTTGAATAGCTGGGTGGTCATATTTGTTTAAGTAACAATGAACACTTAAATTTATAATGAATTTCAGAACCTTCATTTTACCAAATCACTTTATTTTGGTTTCAACCGGGAAAGCGCGCGTATCTAACCCACCTAGACAGCTATTCTTCAGTCCAAAACTTAGGTTTGATTTACCAGTTTTCTCAATTAACTTTTCTTGTTTTGTATCCGCTCCCTTCTTTACTGGATTTTAAATTTCACCCTACAACCAACCGGTAACTTGTTGTGAAATCTAGTAATTCTAGAAACTCCAAGAGACTTGAACAAAATATTGTCATCACCCATGGTGTGCAGTGTGACAAACGCAATGGTTGACTTCATGAGAAGTGCACAGATCTCACAGCAACTGCGTAATACAGGCTCAGAAAGTCAGATCGCTGGCAGACATGTGTAAAAACATGCATTTTGGCAATTCGCTGAGCAATTTCATCGTGCTCAAACATTTGTTCTACTGTCAAATCTTACTGCACTATTGATTTCATTTATGTTTATTTGCTTTTATTCACTTGACAATATGCCGCTGTCTATTCTTATTCTGTTTTCGGAAACACGCTTATCAAATTATTTACATATCGCACTTTTTGTCTTCATTCCCTATTTTTTCCTTTTCCTTCATTAAAGTCAGCTCAGTACTCTTCTCAATCCTACAGAATCTGCCTTAATACTGCAAATATCATTCTAAGGTTATTGAAATTTGTGTATAACCTCACTTTTGGGGAAGCTCAAGGATTCACACGTATCCTGATTTCAGGGACTTTGATCTTCTCAAAGTCAACTTCCCTGTTCATATTTATGGTGAAGGAGACAACTCTGTTGAGTTTCAGTCCACTGACCTCATTAAACGTCCGGGACTATTCTTTGTTAAACGCTAAGGAAGAAAAATTGTAACTTTTGGGGACTAATTATATACTGATAATGTATATATACACTCTTATCGTATAACTGTGACGTAACTAAATTGTTTATACTTATATTCGCTTCATAATAGGTTTTTATTTGACTTATGTTTAAAATATATTATTCGTGTAGCGGAGGCTGATATTTGCATTTTGGACACAGCAGGCAGTGTTAGGCAAAATAGGAACAATAAGGATGTTAAAATTGCCCACACCTGTCAATACATCATTATGATGGCACAGTGTTATAATTTGTTACGTCGCGCGACCTCAATAAACATTTGGGATTATTCAAAACTGTGGAGTTAAAAACTCGATGACACCATCACAGCTACTATGAATCTTCACAAGGAACAACCAGTTGGCAACTTCTCTGTACTGGCTTCTCTAGGAAAGCGTCCAATCAATGAAAGCCTTCTGTTTTATCGGGGACATCGAACTGAAACGTACTATGCTTCATATGTTTGTCCGCATCAGCTTTAAGGGGCAGTCTATACAAGATGCACTCTCAACTCGACATGGATGGTATCCGTAATCCCCTACTACCATTCCTGAATGACAAACTTGGTGATCGTGGTGGACGAGTGAACAACTTTCTTCCATCGTAACGGGAAGTTTGAAGGGATTTACCTATGCTTGTGAAGACTTTTGTTAAGGTCGATCATATATGTCTTATCAACAAGCTCAAACTGTTAGGGATCAAGAAGTCATTAATGGACCGGCTTACCTCAAATCTGAATAATCTACATTTATGGTCAGGGTGAACCTAAATCTTTTTCAGGTTACAAAATGTCTTGGTGCGGTTTCGCTGAGATCAGTGCCTGGACCCGTTCACTTTCCACACCAAAAGAACGACCTGTTTCGCCAAGTGTCATTTAAGCCATCACTCTTCGCTGACCATATCAAACTTTGGAGGGGAGCATGCAACCAAGACAATAAGCTGGCACTTCTGGAGGATCTTACTCGACTTCACGGTTGTGCGGATAACAATCAACTTTCTTTCAAAACTTCAAAGTGTTGAATAGTCCATTTGAGACATGTTGCACACTACAAGTACAACGTAGGTAATTTTCCTCTAGAGATGTCTGAAGTTGAAGGAGACCTAAGAATCTTGGTACCCTATAATCTAAAGTTTTACGCCAAATGTGACAAAAGTGTTTTTGAGCAAAAGTCGCACTGGTAGTGTCAGAGAGTACGTTTGTTGAGTTTGATAATAGAACGTTTCAGCTAGTATTTAAGTTTTATTAAGCTCCATTTAAGATGTGTAAATATGATATATTCTCCGTCACTCCAAAGATATAAAAAACACTGAAATGTATGCGAGCGTTAGCCACGTAATCGCTTTGACGACGCAACTTTTCACTTTGTGTTTAGTGCTCCAGATCATCGGTTTACAGGCGTTCTAGAGGTGACCTAATGACTTATCCTAAACACTCCTGACTACCCCTTTAATTACTTATCTATGCTTAGTTCTAAATGGAAATACTTGAAAAGCAGAGGAGTAGCATAGTATGTTGGATCATGGGAACACTTTATACTCTTTGAATGTAGACAAAATGGAGAATACGTCAGGTGCTGAGGCAATTCACGGAGTTTCTTGCCAGTCATTCAAGAGGAAAATTGACATATTTTTAAGAACCGAGGGTGTTATTTCATCAAAATTTACTGACACTCATCTCTTATTTGATAAATGTACGTTGGTTTTTACCTGAAGGTGTTGGTTAGTTCACTAAGACTTGTATCTAGACAACTTTTAAGAAACGCTTCGGAGGTTAAGAAAGCACTATAGCACTAGAAATAAATCATTCTACAATAAAGTATTATAAAAATAGTTATCTTAGTTATTGAGGTCTTGAAGTGTTTGAAGCCACAAGAGCGCGGTTTGTAGTTAGAGGTCATGTTGGGATTTGCGAAGCGCTGTATGTCTTCCGATGCAACATATAAAGGGGCCTATAAAGTATGTGAGTAATTCAATGAAAATTTTTCAACCTTGTAGGCTAGTGGTGCTTTTTGTGACCGCCCACAGATTATGAGGTTTGGTATACTACGATCTCTCGCTGTGGGAATTCCTTTTATATTTATCGGGTCAGTGATTAGCAGGACAGGTGCTGAACTCCTGGAAGAGTATGATATTTTCACACCACAGGATGATTAATTAATAGCATGCAAAGATTGCATGTGCTTGCACATGCAGCTGCGACGGTTTTGCGTGCTCCATTTGTTTCGTGGTACTTTATAATACCTTTTACTGTAAATGATGACCAGTGTTATTACTGATATTTATTTTCTGTAGCTGCAGTAAAATGCGATCTCTAAACGTAACTGTCAATTGAGAGGCCTCTGTACATTGTTGTACGATTTTGTAGCGATTGGTTGTTGATGCTGAGTGACATGACTCATAGTCGTTCATACTAATGCAGATGCACTCACTCTTTATCTTTTTTACAACCACAGACCCGAATCTCCCTACGTACCTACTTTTTATACTACTATTAATGCTTTTACTAGTTTTGTTATGAGATCTGTCCTCGTATTTTCAATCGGGACAGTTCAGATTGCCAGTTTGGTGTAGCAAGCTGAACTGTCCCACATATGTACTAGATTCTACGTTACAGATGGATTAATGTAGTGACTTCAGTGGTGTATGTTATGTAATTTATTCGAAGTAGCAATCTAATCCATTGGTCGCTACACTATCTTGACACATCTTCGTTATTTCATATTTAGTACTACAACCACCTGAAACTTGTTATTATCCAGGACACTGCAGTTTGTTCTAGCTAGTTTTCCAGAAATTAGATTTTCAACCGCTATATTGTGTTTCTAATGTCCAGTATACTTACCTTGTCAGGAATAAATTCATTAATAAAGTATTTACTAAACAGTTCTTGTTTTGCCTGATGATTAGTACTATAGTTTTCTGGGTCAAATTGATTTATTCACGTTTTCGAACCAGGTTCCTTCAAATCGGTTGCATTTAGATACCAGACGGAGTTCCTTATCAACTTACTAAGCTTCGCTTCTTTACGCCAGTTAACATAAGCTTTTCGGATATCAATGCCAAGGATAAACTTGTTAGTTTCAAATAAATAGAGCATTGGGTAGATATGTTTTGTTATATCCCAATCAGTAGAAATATTGTACTCCTGACATTTCGTGACTTAATGTAAGCCACTTCTCCAGAGTAAATAAATAGTCGACATTAACACAACTTTTAAGCTTGTGTTAATTTAATTTTTGAATAATTGATAATAGCTAAACAGTGCTTCTGACGTACAAAAAACAGAAATAAAACGTCAGTAATATTACAAATACGATCAGTATTCTAGGAACTATATGTATTGCACAAATGCAATAATCACATTAGGCCTAACGGTTTTCAATTGGGAGTACTTCCGATTGTTATTTGTTTTTCTACCTTACACTTATGATAAGTCTTCAGTATACTTCTAACCTAAATAGAAAAATAGTTTCCTCGAGTTACCAGTAATCTGCTTCAAAGTAATATTCATTTACGAATTTTAAATTTACTTATTGGGTTCGGAATATTCAATAATTAGAACGTCTGCTTGATCTACGATGATGGCTTTCATGTTGCTTTATCAGATTCCGAAGTAGTTAATTGTCGGCGGATTTTGTTAGTTCCTGTAAACTGCTTTCATTTATTGATGAACTGACATTTCTCTTCAGAACAGTTTGAATGAGGATTACAATAAAATTACTAGTAGTTAGTAACACTCGACATTCTTATCCTACCTGTTCAGATTATTCTCACTGAAATGAACTCTATTGTCAGTTTTTCTTGTCGGCTAAATGTCATCCTCATTGATTTTTAAATAAACATGGCAAAATCATTACCCATGCTAATTACTTCAGACCTGGTATTACAAAAAATCTATAATGATGTGAGGATAAAAGGAGTTAAAAGTTACCATAACTTGAATAGATAATCTACTATATCCCATACTACATGAAGTGTGGATCCCTTATCTATCGTGAAAATGATTTTTTCATTTTTGATACTAGGTACACGGAATAAACACCACATAAGTTAGAACAAAGTATTGAGGAAATAATTTAATCTAAATTCTGGATGTGGAAGGGTACGGGTCTATCGGTAAGACGACCATCAACTCAACTTTCAGTCAACGATTCAAATAAGTAGATACAGCAAACTCATTCACGACCACAACTCAAAAATAAATTGACACTCATTTTGAGCAGTTGTGTTCAAAGTGTACTGGGATAGAAAGAAACGAAAATTGGTTTACGTACGTTGATAGTTGTGCAACGTAAGTTGCCAACAAAAACGTTACTGTAGGATTCTGATGTATACTACAACAGCTTGACAGAAGTGTTTTGACAAGATAATTTGTCAGGACTAACTAATGTCTATTGGTAAACTATTGATATTCTGGTGGCACTAAGCAACTATCGTATTCTAGTATGAGTCTCTACAAAAGCCTTTTTTGAGTCAAACTAACAGCCCGATTTCGCAGGTAGTATTGTGCTATTAAGCCGCTAACTCGGAGTATGCTCTTCTATATTGTCCATTCCTAATCAATTTGCAACCAAATGTGATGATCATCGGTGGTTGACTATTTCATTTTATTCTTTTTAGTCACATTGTTTATCACGTGCTGCATATCTTAACTCTTTGTAGAAAAAATATGTAAAATCTATGTCTTCATACAAATTATTTCGTAAGCTTCCTTATTTCAAATTAGGTCTGTTATTCATATCAATAAATTATCATATGCGAATGTTAATCACTAGTCAGTGAATAATAACAAACATGTTTTTGCGTGAAAACATAAAGAAATATTTTATGTTGCTAATTGACATATTTTACTACATCCAGTTTATTTATTTAAACACATGAACATCGGTACAACGCCACATAAATCATTCGATTTGTGTGACGGGTGGGATACTGACCGGGTACCCAAACCGAAACAGATGGTTTTCTTAGGAGGTCACACCCCGACTCTTTGACCTAAAGGTCTAACCCACAAGGCTGTAGAGCAACGTCAGGAGATGCAGTCTTATGGTACTTGGTACCCAACGGTTCGTTCATACGCAATTCGTCCCCACAGGATACCGGAGCCCATGTGCACCACGGGTTTAGGATCAGGGTTTTCCAACTCCCCTAGGTGAACTCACCGTGTCCACCAACCCGGTTAATGCACCAGACATTCGCTTTTCGTCCTTTCAATTTCGTAAACAACAGTAATGTCACGAGAAGGCAATGAGTAGGATCTCTGGTAGTGGTTGTATGCACGTGGCCATGTGAGAGCATTTAGAGAGAGAGAGAGTTGACTCCTCACTCTTAGCCGTACCAGGGCATTTGATTTAGTTTGGTACTTCCTATATACGAGTCAAACCTTTTACTTGAGTGAGAAAATAGCATGGGGATAGGCGACAACAAATTATTGTTCTGAAGACAGCTTTCATAAGTCGATGGTTCATGGAAAAGTAAATAATATCGCAAAGCGTAATTAATTGGTCCGTCAAAGTCCTCTATGCTACTTAGCAAATCAATTAAAAGCGACAACAATCCGTCCTTACGGGTATAGATTATCTTACTTTTCGAATACTTAGGGGATTTTCGAAAGTCCCTACATTATTCTTCGCTTAGGATTGGAGTTTTCATCACAGAATTGCATCAACTACACACCAAACATGATTTATAGCTGTATGAATAAGTGGGTTTTAAGCAAAATTTTAGGGGACGCTATTTGATTAGTTCATGTATGAAACATGGTGCCATTGGGTTAAGATTTGTATCAAGATTTAAGGATCTGACTATTTGGACGTTATGAAGTCTTTAGAAAGGAGATTGAGTGTGGTACATTTATCATTATCGTTTTTACTTTAGGTGGTGAAAAGTAGTTTTTCGTCATAATTTTAAACGTCTTGAGCAATGTACAAAGGTATTTCTACAGTTTATTACACATATTTGTATTTCGCGCAAAAACCTTAAGACCACATCCTTGATTCTCATGGACTTGTCCCTTATGCTAGACTTTTATCTGTTTCCTCAAAATATTTAGCCGAATCTTAACCAACAACGTGTGCACGTTAGCATCCATCATTTGGCCTGCGTGATTGAACTAGCATATTATTTATTTCGAAGCAAATTGAAATGGTAAGCCAATCGATGGCAATCAGAAGTGACCCGAAGACCAAGTGCATATCACTGACTAAGAAATTGATTAATCTTTTGGGCCTTAGAGTTCTCTCTATATATAGACGAGTACTTGTGCAGTTTATTCGGTGGCCGAATATACCTTCTCGTCCAAGTAGTCAGTCAGGAGGAGGGCTGGCGCGTTGCACGTATCACTAGTATCAGACTTCGGACACCACCCATCACAACACAAATTGACTTAGAAAACATTAAATCTAATCATGAAAACCTATTGCGAATTAATTATTTCTTCGATAAATAAGTTTGGTAAAGGTCAGAATTAACCTTTTGCAATAATTTCATTGACATGTAATAGTTTATGATAAAGGGTTATATCATTAACAGAGTTACAACAAATTTCTGGTAGAATCTAAAAGTCATGCATTGGTGTAAGCAGATAAGCAAGATATCATAGCCTTGTACTAGAATTTCGAATAGCACAAATTTACTGTTTGTGATTGCTACGAACTACTAAGTAACTTCTGTTAAAAGGTCAAAAGTCTCAAATCAATAATCTTTCAAAATGAATGACTTAGTATGGCTTTGTCCAAGTAACAGTGCTAGGAATGCCTTCAGGAATTATAGAGGTTATATCACTAAATCATCAATTACGTCAATAGACAAAGAAGGTTCTCGAAAAAACCCACTCACAAGTATACAAACAGACAAAACTTGACGAAAATCTTGAGTGGTCCGGACATCTATGATCATAGGGTTCTGCTATTGTACGATTAAATAGCCTTCCAAAATTAAACGAGAAAATCGTTTGTTTCCACTTCATGATAAACTATTTACATCAAGTAACTCTCGAATGATTTAACAGCCAACTCCTAAATAGCCCAGGGGACGGAATTATTTTATCAGGTGTTAATTTTCCCTTACCTAGTACTCCTGTCAAAAAGATAATTTACTTTTTGTGTGACCATATTGAATGTAGTAATTTAGAAGCCGCTTTATTCAAATGTCGACTTAAATAAGTAGGATAATATAAGAATCAATGTTTCTGTATGTGTAGTTATATGTTATTATAATAGTTGATATTCATTCAGTGAATGAATGTTAATCGTCTGTTAATTAAAATGTCATTAAGCCACGACTCAAGCACAACCCACCGCAGCATCTCAATCAAGTCATCTAGACCGGACTAGGCTGTGGCCTGATTAAAAGCCCCCAAATGCCCTGGTACGACCGAGAGTAGGGAGAGTCCGCTCTCCCTCTCGAACTGCTCTCACATGGCCACACGTATATAGCCTCTGCCAGGAAAGTCCTACTCACTGCCTTCTCGTGGCGGGGGTGTTGTCTACGAAAATGAGAGAACGAAAAGTGAATGTCCGGTGCTTCAACCGTATTCCAAACCAATGGTGCACATGGGCTCCAGTATCCCGCGGGAACAAATGGTGTATGAACCAATCGTTGGTCACCACCAACCATGGGACTACATCTCCACACGATGCTCCACTGCCTTGTGGGTCAGACCTTCAGGTCGAAGGTTCGGGGTGTGCCCCCTTAAGAAAACCACCTGCTTCGGTTTGGGCACCCGGTCAGTATCAGAGTCTTCACACGTATCAAATGAGATTTGTGTGGCGCATACGTATTTAGTGCCTCCTTGTACTAATATCTATGCATTAAAATAAATAAAAATAAACCTGTTTATTAAAAAGTGAAAATAGCACAAATTGGAAATGTTTTTTTTTAAAATATCGATGTAAAATGTGAAAATTATCAAATACATAGTAATGATATTAAAAATGTTCAGTCGGTAAAAAGGTCACATATAATATAAACAGGATGGATATAAATATAAAGTTTAACTAATGATTCACATGTTATTAGTTCATCTCTTTCTTACTAAATTCAACATGTGAATATGATTGGATTAAGCATTTATTGTAGATTTTGATTTGATTGTTAGTTATTATGCATTCTTTGATAATTCTGATTACTATCCAGAAGTTCAGATAAGTTTGCTAGACAAGATATTGGAATTATTTAAATTTTAAACGCTGAAATATCTTCTGTATACTACTTTGCACCCAATTTTCTGTTAACATATTCGTCCGGACGTTTAACTAATAGTCGTATAAATTGTACACGTTGCATACAGAATATTATTTGTTATTGCCAAATTTTATATTGTGATTTTATGGACGATGGATATCACTGTAGATCACCAATGTAGATGATCTATGTTAAATGGTTGGGGGCCTATTCGAGTTAGATAGAATGGTGCCGAAATCACACCTCGCAGTCGGCACCTGACATGGATTACCCCTTCATTGTATCAAAGTACTATGGCTACTTTGAAGACCGTACAACACAAAGAACACTATTACGAAAATATATAAGTAAGAATGAGTACAGAGAAGATAGTGAGACCACCACCGCATGGGCCAGTCTATGGCATACGATTAACTGATGCGCGTTGGTTGTCCTTAACTTTGACAGGGGATCGATGATCTGTTCGATATTCAGTGACTCAACTGCCAGATGATCTGTCTACGGCTCAGTGACATTTCACTGACCTTACATCACAAAATCGGACAAAATTTCAAATCGAACAAATTATGCAAAATGGAGATTATCTGGTTTTCATAGTATTTACCATCTTTACTATCTCTTATGACAACAAATATAACTTAAATTCAGTTATTATAAGATATTCTACAACACAAAATGATCGCGAACTTTTATTGTATAACTGACCTTACATATTCGACAAGAACATACATCACTTGGGATATGACAGTATAAAATTATTCATAGATCAAAAATAAAATTTCCAGGCATTACTGTCTTATTTCCATTATTCTGATGTTGAAACTATCTTCAAAACTACCCATATTAGGAGGTCATAGTAGACTGGAATTCATACAAGCACCCAGATTTACTTCATTTAAAATAAGATGACACATTATCATTGTTACTATGATTACTGATACTTACATTTTCCGTAAATTACAAAGTTAGAATGGTAGGTTTACAATCTATTAACAACGATCAATTCATTACAATAGAAATATATCCTAGAATTATTCATGTTGTTCTGTTACAAATAAGACGTATCCCCTTTGTGGAATCGAAAAAAAACGATCTACTAACTATTTGATACGAATAGTATGACAAAAAATTAGGCGCTGAGTATAAAGAAGTCATTAGATTTTAAAGAATTTCAAAGATTAAAATTTAAATAATTCCAACGTTTCATTCAGTAAACCTGTCTGACCTTCTTCAAGATAATAATCGATCTACTACTAACTAGTCACATTACAATAATTTTCTGCTCAATACAAATAATCTTATCATTTTAGGGGTTGTGGAGATTGTTAAGTCTTTTTTGATTGAGATCATAAACCGATTGATGTTAGATCACCATTGAAAACCTGGAAGCACTGGACGGCCGGTTCATGATTTCAATAAAAAAAACAATCTTATTCATGAACTCAAATAAGCATTAGTTAACTATTCAAATGATAACAGTTAGTGTGTAGTCAATTAACCGTTTCTTACTACTATTCTAAGTAACCTAAGTGAAACAATATGATCAATAGTTGAGTAAAACTCTAATTTACTCAGTAACAAAATATTATTTTTTTATAATGACTGTAATTCACCTTATACGTTTTCAATAATAAGCAGCCCCTGACCATAAATGTAGACATGGATACAAGTATATATATATATATATATATATATATATATATATATATATATACCAGATTTCGCCATATATAATAAGACAAATCCATTCATGATTGTCTTCATAATAATAAATCACAAAACGAGAACATACATATGAATGAATTGAAAAAGAAAAGATAGTAAGGACTGTTTTATACATACACACACACATACACATACATAAATGCATGTATGGGGTAATGCATATAAAATATGAAAAATGTAAGATATTACAGTGCATCAGTTGTCCCCCCTCCTTTGTTTTACTCTTTCTCATCAATTATACAAAAACCAACTACAACTTACATTTTCATACAATTCTATAGCTTCTTCTTCCTCCTAATTTTTATCCATCAATTTTCTTTCATGATTGAAAGACCACAACTAGAAGAGAATCTCTCTCTCTCCATATCACAATAGATACACCATAAATAGAGAAAAGTCGAGATTTTTTTTTGAAAAAAAAAGAACAGATACAACCCAAGGAACAAAACTTGTTTAAATAAACAATATAAACTATACAAAGGGTAGTAATAATAATAAAGTAAATAATAGAATCGGGAATCCCTATCAATAAACTTATGAACAAACATCATTATTATCAACACTGTCATTTACAATCAGAAATAGTATGTTGTTAGATAAATACAAGACAGAGAGTGATCATCATTGAGTATCAATTTGATAGACAGTTTTCTACTTAAGGAGTAGGGAAATAGAGCAAGAGAAGGTAATGATCATTGATTTATTGAATCCTTAAACGAATATGGAAATTGAAAAGCATGATCAAATGGTAAGAAAAAAGGAGAAATTTAATTTCTGGAATAAGCGAAAGCACTGAGAATTCATATGTCAAATAAGTGAATTGTTTTATTGAAGAAACAAAACCGATACTACTTATAGCAAGATTGGCGAAAGAATCAACAGTAGTAGTACAAGAGGCAAAAGAAATCAAATTAAAAAAAACATTTTCAGCATTAGTTTTTTGCAGAAATTACGAGGAATTCGTCTCAGTTCGTTCAGTAATCAAATTACTACCACTATAAGTTGTAATCGTATTATTATTATTATTATTATTAGTAGTAGTAGTAACGATATCTTCTGTTTGAAGACTAACTTGAGCAATATTCATTTCATTCCCTGACATAATTGAATCATTATTTTCACGATTTGTCTTCATTGCATTTGTCGCTGCGACAATCTCTTCATAACTAGGTGGAGGTGGTGTTGTATTCGATGATTTTACATTTAAAATTTGACTTGATGTAGCATTTTGTTCACTAGTGTACAATGTAGAATTGAATCGACCAGTTTGATTTGACGATGATTTAGATAAAAAAGAAGGATTTGTGATTTGTTCATTTAGTGATAAATTAAAACGAAATGCATCCGGTATTGCTGAGTTATTATTATTATTGTTGTTGTTGTTAGACTCGGTTTCAATTGCAGATAGTTTTACAACATCTGTATATGCAGGGGGTAAATCTAAGGTTCTATTTGATAACAAAAAGTGCAAAAAAAATAATACACTGATTAGTACTTTCATTATAACATTTAGGCAGAATATAGTTTAAAATCACCGATGTAAACAGTTTACATGATGGCACAAATTTTATTAAACATCTGTGGGGTTGGCGTATATGACTTCCCTGGCAGAGGGAATAACTACTTCCGTTATCTGTCAAGTTATATTCCGTTTGGTCTTTTTGATAATACTATTAAAAAGACTCAAAATTCATAAGAAATACAACTATTGTGTACGAGAAGTATATTAGAAGCAAATGTATACATGATTACATGACTATTACCATCAAACAAGGAAGACTAAATCTAAGGGGAACATCAATTACAGATGTTATTCGAAAAGTATTATCTTTTCGTTAATTAATTGTAATCATAATGTGTGAAGAAAGTTATCAAATTTGAAAGCATCTTCCATCATAGACTGATATCAGGAGACTACTACCAGTAGAAAGTATCAGATATCATCATTAGTATAGGGTAGTGAAAATTGTTGAGGTCTTATTGAGATCATGTTAGACCACCATTGAAAACCTGGAAGCACTGTACGGCCTTTTTGTCCTAGTCCATAACCCTATATTGATAATATCATATGCTCACTAGTGATTAGATTCGAGAGGTAATTTTCGGAGTTCCAGTGAGAAGCTGTGACCAGTAAAGTTCAACTGTGTTGGGTGTGAGGCACTTACCTACCGGGAAATGGTCAAGCAATAACGTAAATTGATTTAAGTTAGACATTAACACTGTTAGATACCAGCTTACTGGTTAGCGGTTAACCGTTCACGTGCGAGACCGAAGGTGTTAGTTTCGAATCCCGTGAGCGGGACCGTGGATGGGCAGTGCTCAGGAGACTCACAATAGGACAAAACGGCCATCCAATGCTTCCAGGTTTTCAATGGTGGACTAACAGATTGAATATTAAAATTTGTTTATCCTAATCTTAATCAAGAAACTTAACTTCTCTTATAGGTACTTAACGATAAAAATCTTATTCTAAACTATACTTATGAGCTTTGAATTTCTAATTACTCTGAACGGAATTATTATTCTAATTAATCAATTATTACAAATGAACAAGTTCTTTTCTACAATGAGAGATTATGGATGAAAAACAATTAGTTTTGATAACAAAATAGAATGTGTAGTATAACAACCCTCATTTTATTCAAGGAAACCGAATTCTATCAATTGCTCATTTATGAATATTTATTTATCTGTATCAGAAGGAGTTTTGTGGAGGTTGTAGTAATGTCAACAGTTGAGATCATGAGTCAATTGAAGCTAGACCATCATGGAAAAACTGGAAGCACTGGACCGCCGTTTCGTCCTATTGTGGAACTTCTCAGCAGTGCGCATCCACGATCCCGCCTCGCGGGATTCGAACCCAGGACCCATCAGTCTCGTGAGGAGCAGTGACCAGTGGAGTTCAACCGGGTCAGTTGTGAGGTAGTAACTCACTGATGACAATGGTGGATGTGTCGCTCAATTTCGCGGATTAGTTGAAGTTAGACACTAACACCGTTGGATACCGGCCGGCTCAGTGGTCTAGTTGGTTAAGCGCCTGGCGCGGGACTAATAAGACCTGGATTCAAATCTCGCGAGGCAGGGTCGTGGATACGCAGTGCTGAGGAGTCCCACAATTGGGACGAAACGGCGGTCCAGTGCTTGCAGGTTTTCCATGATGGTCTAGCTTCATTTGACTCATGATCTCAACTGTTGAAATTTATTTATTTGTTGAGAAATGATTTTAAAGAATATACATAAACCTTTACTTTAGCAGTGAATGTTTACATTAATAAATGCCTTTACATTTTACAGTTAGCTAAACTTACTACTTATTTTGAGAATAAAGATTAAACATAGATAAACAACCTAGAATGATTTATCTTAATAAATCTCGTTAAATTAGTTACCGTCAATGATCAAGTTGGCAGATATACTGGTATTGTGATGTACACTACTGATGTTGACAGTATGTATCATCAATCGGAAGTGAAATGTCTAGAGGCAGAAAGTTAATAAGATCAAAGTAAAGTGAACGAGAACAAAGAATGATTTGTGTGAAAACAAAAGAACAATGAAGTTTGAGACAATTAATTGACATTTTGCAAATAAAGTATTTACTATATTGCTCAAAGATTTTATTAAGATGTTCTGTAATTTTGCATTCGATTGTCCTCACTTGTGCTCTCGTTCACATTACAGTATTATTACTGACTAAACACAATTTGTTTATGGCCATTAGTTGAATATGATAAATGTATTTCATTGTTTCGTCGTAGGTTACAAGTCATTACACTTAATTTTTTTTCAGTTAATATGAAATCAATCGAACTGATTCTATGGAATTTTCGGTATCAAATGTATCGTTTGAATCGAAGTTAACGATTTCAACCATGATAATATGATTTCTTGATAATCTATCATAACTCCGCCTGGAGTCCCTCCGGGGGCTACTGCCGGTCCCAAGCCCGGATAAAGGAGGAGGGTCGGGCATGGGGTTAGCGTCCCCATCCCGTAGAAAACTAACTCGCTAAAAAAACGCTAACCAGATAATCTATCATTAACTAAATTAAACTAATATCCTGAAGCAAATGATATCAATTGGATACGTGAAATTGACGCACGTATACATTGATTTAACATCGCACAATGCAAAACACCAAGTGATAGAAGACAAAAAAAGAAGAGAGGAATAACACTCAGTGTACTGAACTTGTTGAGAAGCACTATGCTTACATTATGAATATCAATTAGAAACAACTTAAATGATAAGTAGAATGAAGTAATAAATATCAAGATAGGGAATAGGTCTATTAAACAAGTTCTTTAATAAAAATACAAGTTCATAGTTTATATTTAAAATACTATCAAAACAAATCATCAAAAGATACAAACTATTGAGTGAGAGAGAGGCGGAGAGAAACTGTATGAAGTCAAGATAGAAATGTGTTTGTTTGTTTGTTTTTTTTATTAAAAATTTGACCTCAGTATCACATGTTTCTCAAAATAGAGTGAACAAAAAAAAAGTGCTTTAGACAAAAATATTTCAACTCTATTCACTGATGTCAGATTTCATTGTTGTCAAGTGTATTATTATTGAAGTATGATAATATTAATATAGTGATTATATATCTATATATGTAACCTTTAAAGTCATGTTTTTTTTCATATTGTCAATTAGTTTAATAGTACAAATAAAATTGAATAAGCACAACCTGAGAATAGAAATCAATCATTAGAAGATGAAAACTTATAGAATAACCATTAGATCAACTTCAGTCAGTCAATAACAACGTAGAACTTCTTACGTACGTACATCAGTTCGAGTTGTCATACCACATTAGCACAGAGATGCAGTTGTCGATTCAAATCTCATAGTGGTAGGGTTAGTAAAAGTATAAGCAGTAATCGGAAACATCAGGGTTTGAAGATCTTATTCCAGGAGTATAATCCTTACTTACTTATGCCAGCATTCTCCATCCAACCCTGTCCTGGGCAATCCTTTTTTGCTTCTTCCAGTTGTTATTCATCCTTTTCATATCTGATTCCACTTTCCGACGTAATGTGTTCTGTAGCCTTCCTCAGTTCCGCTTCCCTTCAGGATTCCAAGTTAGCTCTTGCCTTATGATGCAGTTTGATGATTTGCGTAATGTATGTTTTATCCATTTCCATCGTCTTTTCCTAATTTCCTCTTCAGCTGGAAGTTGGTTTGTTCTCTCCCACAAAAGGCTGTTGCTGATGGTATCCGGCCAATGGATGTTGAATATCTTGCATAGACAGCTATTTATAAATACTTGTACCTTCTTGATGGTGGTTCTTGTCGTTCTCCACGTTTCAGCTCCGTACACTAGAACTGTTTTGACGTTCGTATTGAAGATTCTGACTTTGATATTGGTTGAAATTTGTTTTGAGTTCCATATGTTCTTCAATTGTAGGAATGTGGCTCTTGCTTTGCCAATCTTCGCCGTTACGTCTGCATCTGATCCTCCTTGTTTATCGATGATGCTTTCCAGGTATTTGAAGGATCCCACATCTTCAAGAGTTTCGCCATCAAGAGTGATTGGACTGCTGTTCTCCGTTTTGAATTTGAGGACCTTGGTTTTCCTCTTGGGTATACTGAGGTTTACTGATGCAGAGACTGCTGCTAGGAGTATAATCCAGTGAAATAAATTTGGAAAGAGAAAAAAAGAAACATGAATTCAGAAGATTAGAATTTAGGAGAACACAAAGAGTGGATGCATCTGCGCTTCTTATTTGTAAATTAATTTATAATATCAGAAGTGGATATTGTGGATAGATCCTGAGTTCGAATCTCCAGAGTCGGGATCGTGGATGCACACTGCTGAGGAGTCCCACAATAGGAAGAAACGGCCGTCCAGTGCTTCCAGGTTTTTCATGGCAATTTAGCTTCAATTGACTCATGATCTCAACTGTTGTAATTTATAATAATTTGAAGTTATATTAGCCATTTTTAAATTACTTTAGGCATGAAATATTTTTGGTATGTAGCTAGTAGTGGAATCTACAATACAGGTTTTGTTTTATTTGACCACTTACTAGCTAGATTTATCTGGATTCCAGGGTTAATGATGAACATACTAAGAGCTGAATCCAGTACGTTTCGATTTGAACACCAAGGCATTATGTTCTGATAGGCTAAGTCTAGCTAGATGGTCACGAACTTGTTTAACATATGAAATTAAAGGAAAAACTTGTGACTAAAAGGTTTATTGAAGTAATCCTCTAAGGATGATATATAGTGAAATAAAAAAAAAGATCAATTGCAGTCCTGATTATCGACACTGAGATTTGGTTTGACAATTACATTATTCTGTGCTAATGATGTATAGCAACTTGAACCGATATACATATGTACAGATTCTATGTTATGACTACCTGACTGATTGAATATCTACAAACAAAAATGACAAATCTTTACTAATCTTTTTTTAAATAACAAATGTCATGAAAACTATACGTATTTCTGCATTAAGCACTAGATCAATAGAGTAAATCTCATTAACTGAAGTGATAAGAACCTGTTAAATGTTACTCAATAAAAGATTATATAAATTAATCTTAACTGAAGTCTACTAAAAAAAAATAAACGATTGAAAACTGGTGAGCAGCTATTTTATGGTATTTCAATAATTAATATGATGGAAAGAAAAGTCAAAATTCGGTTGATTTACTCATTATCATTTCTGGTTCAACATTACATCCGTTTTGATTCAATATGATGATTATTGAGTGTAGTATTTGTTTTGTATTCTCATATGACACTATTCTGTATAACACGATATTCTTGTACTCAATGGATATGAACTATACTCAGAATGTGATTTGTTATAACTCGACGTATTTTTTTCATATATGTGATTTCATCTTAATTATTAATCAATGTGGGTGAACGAATCAATATATAAATGAGTGTACACTCGACTAGGGTCGTCGCCGTTGTTGTCGTGTTCTGGGGGTTAATAAATCTTCACTTATACCAGTTTTTGTATTCCTACTTTTGCGTCGTGGGAATTGCAAGGGTCTCTTGTTTCGAGAATAAGTTATAAACGATTCCGATAAAACAACCAGCGACGACCAAATATAACACAGTAGCATAAAAAGAGCCAAGACAATCAGCATTCAACTGACAAGTTATAACAATAATCTACTTCAAAAAGATCATCAGGAGAGAGAGAGATGAGTGAAAGATATAATAATAACATTGTGTTTGTTCTGATATTTAAGAAATAACTGAATACAAATGATCAGTTCACTGCTTAACAGAATGTGCTTTCACTGTGTCTACATTATTTTTAATACAACCTTAATTTTATGATTGACAACTCATATAATTACATTAAATATAATTTAATAACAATAATTTTCAACATGAAATTATGGAAGGGAAGTAAGATTTAACAACGACTTTATTGTGAATGAATAACAAAAGTCACTTTCTAAATGTTACAGTAAAGAGAGACGACAACAACAATAACTATTACTACAACTGAAAAAAGGAAGAAAAGAGAAAGAAAACTGACATCAATTCACTGAGATATTTGATGGTATGTAAGGGGTCGAACTCAAAAATTAGAATTTCATATTTTCAAACTTTCAATAACTATGATTCATATTATATAATCTTAATCAGTCAGTCAGTAACAACGTAGAACTTCGGACGTACGTACATCAGTTCGAGTTGTCATACCACATTAGCATACAGATGCAGTTGTCGATTCAAATCACGTAGTGATAGAGGTAGAAAGAGCATAGGCAGTAATCAGGAAGATTAGGGTTTGGAGATGTTATTCAAGGAGTATAATACAGTGAAATGAATTTGGGAAGAGAAAAACGAGATAAGGAAGAATCAGGAGATTCAAATTTGGGAGAACACAAAGAGTGGGTGCACCTGCGCCATTGCAAACGATTTTGAGCCATGTCATTCAGGGTCTCTAACCATCGGCTGCTATCATCTCGCGGTCCCCAACCAGGTAGTCTACACCGACCAACATGGCTCACCTCACTTGTCAGTGATTTCATGGATTTGTGCCATGTTTTTGTCTGGCTGCCCCTAGCTTTCTTCCAACCTATTCCTACACCATAAAACATCGCAGTAATAATAATAAACTATAATTCGACGGGGCTATATCTTACTTGATATGACTGAATTTTACAAAAAAAACCTAATAATTAATTTATGAATAAATGACTAAATGATATTGTGTCCCTTTATGGTATAGTGAATTAGCAGTTAACGCATAGAAATTCCAAATTCTAATCCGAGCTTAGTTTAGCTTGAATAGCTGAATAACAATATATAATTCATTCAATTTATGTGAAGGCTGGAATACTGCCCAGGAGCCCAAACCGAAGCAGGTGGTTTTCTTAGGGGGACACTCCTCGACTCTTTGACCTAGAGGTCTAATCCACAAGTTGGTGGGGCAACATTAGGAGATGCAATCCCATGGTAGCCGGTGACCAAAAACAGGTTCATATGCCATTTGTTCCCTCAGAATCTTGGAGACCATGTGCACCAGAGTTTTCAACTCCCTAGGTGAATCCTCCATATCCACCAACCCAATTAAAGCGTCAGACATTCGCTTTTTATCCTCTCAATTTCGTAAACACCCCAGCCGCGAGAAGGTAGTGGGTAGGACATCCTTGGTAGTGGCTGTATGCGCAGGGTCATATCAGGGCATTTCGAGGAGAGCCGACTCTCCTCATCCTCAGCCGTACCATGGCATTTGGAGGCTTACCACATAAATCTCCAAACCAGACTGATAATAATAGTATTTATTTGGTAAAATAATTCATCAATTCAATTTCATACTGATGTTCACTTGTAAATAGTACTTTCTAGTAACATAGTATAAATAATTAAGCCAAAACAACACCATTTATTATATTAAATTTCTAGTATTCACCTATAAAGATTCTTCTTACTGAATTAAACATGTACTACTTATGTAATATGAGTTCATTTCGATCTTGTCCTGAAATTAATGTACTGTATACTCAGTTTGTCAAATTTAATTGAATTCATTGACAAAAGAACTTGATAGATACATGAATAGGTATGATCTATGATAGAAGTGAATAATAATGAAACAAACTGTTCTTTAAAAAAAACTAGATTCAGTTAGTTTGAATGAAAGACAGCTAGTCTTATTGTCATTGACGTGCAACAAACAATATGATCCAACTGTTCTATGCACAGAAGCTAAAATCGAGTTAATCTACTCAACTTGAAGTTACAGTTTGTGTGTCAGGGTACTATTCAGCAGTTTAAACCGAAGTTGATCAAACAAAACTTGAACTAGGGACCTAGTGGTTGAAAGTTGGATGTCTTAACCACTAACAAACATACTTCACATAAAAAAACCAATTAGCCTTAAATTGTGAACTAATCAATTATGATTAAATTGGTATTTGGAACTAGTAAATCAATATCCAAATAATTATTTACAGTTTTTTTGTCAAGTCGGTTTCTACACCTCATATAAGCACAAAGAGATGGAATCAAAAAGGTGAATAACAAAAGAATCTAAATAATAGTAATATCACGGATAGTAACCTTAAACATAAAGAATCTGCTTCGAAAAGAAGAAATAAGATACGGAATCCAAATGTAGTTACCAATACTGGTAATTAGGGTCTGAAAGAAAACAGAGCCAATGTATCTATGTCACATGAATCAAATTCGAATTACTTAACGACTAATCACTATTATCTCGCGAACACAAATCAGGTGGTAGTCAACAACCAGAAGCACCACTAAGATCAACAATGAGAGATCTCATGGATTGATACCATGTCTAGCTTGTTTTTAATCTATCTCTACACTAGTCAACATTAAGCTTCGAGGTAAGCGGTAGCTAGAAAATAAGTAGCATGTGTCCTAGACACCTCATTTGATAAAGATTCACATCCTCATCACCGTCTTTACTTAATAACCTACATAGAGACGGTAAATTATAATCCAAACCAAAGCATACAAATGACAACGAAGTCACTTAATCACAATTATAGATGACTCTGAAATCAGCTTTAACAATTTCATATCGATGTGCTAATATAATAATGTCAACCTGAAATGATGTACATATGTAGCGTTTAACTGACTAATAGTAAAGATTAAATGAATAACTTTTTATCGATCACCTCAAAAGTTCTGGTATAAATGTACAGAAAATTTACAGTTTTACGTACAATATAATAAACCAATGGAGAACAAAACTGAAAGATGTACAAGTTTCTTTAATTCAATACTAATAAATATAACCAAGATAATCCAAATCAAAGATTCTAGTCAGTTTAATTCTTGATGTTTTAATATCAGACTATTGTATAAATCACCACACTAACTAAACAACTGTAATGTTTGATCGATAGTATTTACTTGATATTAAAAATCAATTTCGAACAAAACTTTATTATTTATTTTAACACAGATATTGGTACAAGGAGGCACAAAATACATATGCGCCACACAAATCTCATTCGATATGTGTGACGGCTGTGATACTGCCCGGGTGCCCAAACTGAAGCAGGTGGTTTTCTTAGGGGGCCACTCCCCGCAAGGCAGTGGAGCATCGTAAGGAGATTCAGTCCCATAGAAGCCGGTGACCAACAATCGGTTCATACACCATTTGTTCCCGCAGGATACTGGAGCCCATGTGCACCATTGATTTGGTTTGGGATCCGGTTAAAGCGCCGGACATTCGCTTTTCATCCTCTCATTTTCGTAAACAACACCCCCGCCACGAGAAGGCAGTGAGTAGGACTTCCCTGGCAGAGGTTATATACACGTGGCCATGTGAGAGCATTTCGAGAGGGAGAGCGGACTCTGCCCACTCTCGGCCGTACCAGGGCATTTGCACAACACTAAACTATTCAACTACAATATAATTCAAAAGAACATAACTTTCATATGAATTTTCATTTAAAAGCAACAACAACAAAAATAAATTACCCAAAACCAACAGGATATACACTTGTGCTATAATCATTATGCAAATATTCTGTAGCATCATCTCTATGATTATTTTGTAACTGAGGTGAACGATTTCTTCTTCGACCAGTTCGATTGATGCAGTATTACCATTAGTATTTGTACTAGCGCCAGAACCACCACCACTACCACCACAAGAAGTTCGATTATTTATCCGTTGATTGCCACAGATTTGTTTAACTAAGAAACGTATTAAACATACTAGTAAACATATAATTCCAATTGCTCCAATAATTCCACCTAATATTTTATACAATTGAAAATTAGATTGTTCATATGAACAATATGGAATTAGATTGGCATCAGAATCACTGTTATCACGATTCAAATGTATTTTTTCATTTGATTCACATTCACTGCATTCGAATACTGTATCACCAGCTAAGTGAATAATTAAAATAAGAGAATTGTAAAAAGAAAGTTTAACAATTTTTTGATCCATAAAAAAAACAATTCCTAAATAAAAGAAAGTAGCTAGTCTACAAACTGAACAGAAAACTGGGTAAATTCCGTTATATTAATTTAGAGGTTTGTGAAAAGAAATATTGACAATTTTAAATCATGAACTGATTTTAGGTAGACCACTATTGAAAACCTAGAAGAACTGGATAATTGTTTCGTTTTAATGTGAGACACCTTAACAGTGCTGCTCATTCCCGACACCGAATACGAATCCTTAACCTTTACACCACTAAGTTGGTATCTAATTGATATGATGGGAAGAAAAGTCAAAGTTATTTTGATTTAATCACTACGATTTTTATTCAACATTAATTCCGTTTTAATTCAATGTGATGATTACTCATTGTAGGATTTGTTTCCGTTTTCCTATATGACATTTTATTCTGTATAATATACGATATTCTTGTATTAAAAATTGACCTGAACTATGCTCAGCATGACATGCAACATGTGATCTGTTATAACTCTAATTCTTAATCATAATGAGTGTACAATAAATATATAAATGAGTGTATTCTCGACTAGGGTCTTCGTTGTATTTTTGGGTTAATAAATCTTCACTTGTACTACTCTTTGTGTTCTTACTTCCGCATTGTGGGCATTTCAGTGATTTCTCGTTTTACAAGTAAATTAATAAGTGATTCTAGCACAGCAATTAGCGACGACCCGATATAACATATATATATATATATATATATATAATGATTAGGTCGGTTTGTATAATAGATCAGCATCGGATAACTGGCTATTAAAAATCAAGGAGCGATGAACATCCCACTGAATAGTTCATTGGTAATGAGTACCTGCGAAAATACGGAAAGGATTCAACCAATGAACTTTAGGACTCTCGAGTACGAATTCAACGAATCATATTTCTAACTTCACTCAATTAATGATGCACTACACAATCATTCAACGCCTTTGGTATGGTAGCTGCTTTCTAATATGAGAAAATTTAACTAATCAAGATTTCACATTGGAAGTTCAGGAATTCATCTCAAAATTAATTACTAGTGAGCAGAAGATTGTTCGATTGAAAGCTTTGTAGAGATTAGTTTAAAATGAAGTCACACACTAGAACGAAACAGTTGTCCTTCGTTCTCAGTAGTTCCATGGATGATGTCAACCCCAAATGAAAGTTGCCTTACGGACGAATTGCCGTGAGTCATACTGTAGAATTATATGGCAACTGTAGGCAATAATAGAGAAGCTCTTTACTACTCATTCACGAAAATGTGTTCACTTATTTAAAAAACACATTTACAATCATTGATTTTTCGGATTGAAAAATGTATGTAGATAATAAAGAATGGAATGAATACTTGAAGTGGATTATAAGTAGGCTTTTCCAAGTATTTGGTCCGGCTGTTTCATTTTTAAGAGCACAAAATCAGTTATTATAAACACAGAGCTAGTAATTTCAGCATGTGCTAAACACTATTTTTAAATCCATGTGCTTAGGTATGACTCCAGACATTGTTTGCAGTCCACATTGACAGATTACATTGGTGTATTCGCTATCAGTACTTTTAGAGACTAATTCCGCTAAATTTAGCCAGATGAAATATCAAGAAACAAAGAGTGGTTTGGGTCGGTGTATCCCAATACGAGTGAACCCAAAATGGTGATTGCAATGAAAGTATGATTGCATATAAGACAAACACGTCCCATACTAGGGTGAAATGACCGTCCAGTACTTTCAGGTCTTCAATGATGGGTGTAACATTGACCGGTTTGTGATTTCAATGGGAATAATTATATGTTTTTAATCTGGCATTCACTATACCAAGCTCGACAAAACAAATGAAGAAACCCAGAGTTCCTTTATCAAACAACTATAAATACGAAATTGCAGCTTAAGTAAATAATTTCCTTCAAAAATACAATTTCCTTCGTTGGATTCTCTTTATCTGTTTTTAACTATGTATTTGAGTAGGGTTTTAGAACGGAATTAAAGTACATAAAAAGTAATGAGAGGGCGGATTTTTTGGCAGAGAATAGCTACACCTTCCGAAAAGTGAAAGTGATTAAAAAAGAAGATATAAAAATGCACAAAATATCGCATCACAAAGTGTAGATTGCGTTCTCATAAGAAATATGAAATTACAAAAGAACGGATGAAACATAATCAAGTATCAGATAAAGCTAGTGTCGGTGCTAAAAAGGTAATCAGTATAATAAAATACCGAGCAATAGAAACAACATAAGTTGTAGCTACGGTATCTAGACGTTTAGAGGATGAAGTTTCAGTTCAGTTTTTGACTGTGATCCGGATGAAGCAGATAATTCAAAGGCTACAAAATGACCGTTAGGCCTCCTTACAAAATCTAAGCTCATTGGATGAACTAACCCTACCGCTTAAAAAAAATACAACTGTTGTCAGAGAGAGTTCCCTTCAACATGATTGTAAACTGGGTGGAAAGAGGACATTGACATTTTCCACAAGTTATAGTCTGGAGTTGTTGAAGCAGTGTCCTCACTAGTATGACGATGGAGTCGTAGAGAATTAAAACTCCAAAACAGTATTACTCAATCATTTTGAAGACAGATGGGTCAAGGAACCTACAAGAAAAAAGGGCGAAACTTTAAAAATTATACGGTGGAACGCTCACAGGTCCATTGTGGAAAATCTTCCTAAAAACAATGAGGTGGATAAGAGCATGTAAGCTTCAGCCCATTCATTTGTGCTGTTTACTCAAGCATTTGGTAAATAAGTGTTACTTTGAAAAAGGAACAAAGTTTAAATGAACTGAATAATGAACAGTCCCTTCTAGGAACCCAGGAACAGCAGGTAAAAAAGAAGCGCAAGTAGGTGTGAACTGTAGAAGAGTTTGAGAAGATATCGATAATGGACTAAACACATCCAATAGAACACACAATTTGAATTCGAACATTCAGATACATCAAGTGTAAATAGCATTTACATCTGCATTACCAATCAGAGTAAAGCAGATGCACTCAGTTCTTATCCTCTTTCAGATCTTAAACATCTTACAATTATTATATATTTTTCACATTTTATTTCATTTGTTCATACTGGGCTATAATTTTATGTATTTACTTTCGCAGTATTATGTTTATTCACTTGGTTTAGATGTTAGTTTTTTATCGTCAGTGAGCGATGGCAGTCTAGAGTGATAAAGATTTGCACAAAGTCTTGATTACTAGGTTGGAGATCATAATATTGACTCAATTTCTAGAAACATATTTACGTATTCCGTTTTAAACCATACTTATATGAGGGGTTAGAAACACTAGGTAGCCACCAAATTCAAGTACATAGAAAGGAGCGCTTTAACTACTGTGCCGCCGTTGCAAAATGGGTTGAAATTCCAAACCTTACATCACTTAATAAGACTTTGGAAACCAGTTAGTCTTATTATCCTCAATACAAATAAAATATGGTTCAAACAGGGCACACAAACCCACATATCGTGAATTACTCGATCAAATTTATCATATATTCCAACTTTTGGTAAAAGACAGGTTACAAAACCATGGGCAAACTTATTTTTCTGTAAGTACAATCACATAGGAAATCGAAATGACAAAAATGACTACTATTTTAGTCAACGAGAAATCATATTTCTACCTGTTTTAAATGCACCATGGGATTAGTTATGAAACGAATAAAATGAGTTCATAAACAGCTAACTTTTATATCTGTGGTATCACACATTACATACAAACGTGCATTACACATATATAGCTAATGACCTTATGAATTTGTCCTTAATCAAACTTTTTAGCATGTGGTACAAATATGTTGCATATAATCAAAAAGTGAAATAAAAAAGTCGGTCAGTCATCTACAACGTAGGACCAGGCACATATATGCATCGGTCCAAGTTACAACACATCATTAGCACAACAAGATGAACACTAAGTTCATAGAAGCCATTACTTCAATGGTAGTAATATATAGAAAAAGATTGCATATAAGAATATGATACAGAGAAAAGAATTAGTTCGTAGAAAGAGAAGTAAAACGTTATTTTAATCTCATAGTTTAAAGGAAAACAAAAAGTGTATACACCTACGCCATTGTGATCGATTCTGAGCTATGTCACCCAGAGTCTCCAACCATTGGTTACAATAATTGCGCGAACCCTAACCAAGTAGTCTGCATCTACCAACATGGCTCAGACCAGAAGTTAGTACTTCAAGCACTGATGCCACGTCTTGGTTTGACCTCCCCTAACTTTCTTATAACTATCTCCTACACTAGTCAGCATTGCGTGTTATGATAATCAGTGGTTGAGTATGCGTAATACGTGGCCCAACCATCTCAGTCGATGTAGATTCACAACCTCATCAACTGATTTATCATCATTCCTGTAAAACATGTTGAGATGTTAGGTATGATGGAAGTTACTCAATAGGTAACCCTAAACTTCGATTACATTTAGGGTTTTTGTTAAATACCCCCAACCACCAGACAATACTAAAAACGTGTAACTAAATAAAAAGCAATACCAAGGCATTCTCTTACGATACACATATACCAACGCAGGCTAATCAACTAGAACACTGAATATCAACAGTAGGAAAATAGAAAATCTTACTAATAATTTATAGAAACAGTTTAAAATGCAGATGTTCATTGTAAACTCCAGATAAAAACGAAAGCAACATACAAACAGAATACACACTAAATAATAAATCTTAAAATCTACCCAAATTATCACGATGACGACCAAAGTCAAAACTAATTTTTGTATGTAACTGGATCTTAATGCAAATCAATAATCGAGAAAATCTTTACATTTATTGTAACATAGTCTATTCATGTAAATCATACAACTACAGTTCAAATCACTAACTCAATAGTTACAATCTCATTAAATATTATCACTTTATAACTTTTGAACTAATGATGATGTAATAAAAAGAAATAAACAATGTAATTGATTATTGGT